TATCGCTATATACATTTTTCGAAATCTTCTAAAATGAAAATTTATTTATAAATTTTTAAATATCAATATTTTCTTAATATAGAAAAAATAGAATGAATTTATTAGTAGAATTTAGAATTATAATTATTATAAAGATTCTATAAGATATTATACGATCTTGAATTCAAATTTCAAATTCAAGCCTCTTAATCAAAGATAATTTGCAATATCTAAAATAAATCTATCTCTTTATGAAATATCATCAATTATATATATATATATATTCATATATATATATATATATCTTTCTTTCTGAATATATATATATATATATATTCTTTATAGATATTTTTGCCTAGAACTTGGTATATTATAATTTATTTTTAATACCAATCAATATCGAATAAAAATAATATTTGATAATATAATTCACGTCGAATATTAATCAGAAATTAGAATAAGAAATCAAAAATATAAATATTATAAATATGAGATCTATTGTATGAGATTTTCTGCACAAAAATTGAGACCCGAACAAGGTAATAACCCAGAGCCCCAAATTTGCCAGAAATTTCAAGGTGCAGCGCCGCCTGGCCAATTTTTAACGCTCCCGGCCCCCGAAACATTCAGTACGTTTCTCTCACGACTCGTACAAGGCAGGCAAAGCTCCACACAATCCGAATCACCATGCTAGCAACGGCTTGGGGAAGATCCGATACGATCAGAACACCTCTAAACCATAGCACTACCGACAAGGCCCAAAGCTCCGGGAGCTCACAAGCAAACATCACAGAACCCATGTGCCAACTATCTCCCACGGCTACCGAGTTACTAGACTGTCCGTCACGTGAGCTACAGCAGCACACGACCCTCTATCACAGAGCGCCAATACAGCAAAATTCCGCATCAAGGACATCGTAGTTTATGTAAGGCCCTACTTGTAGGAGGGCACATCGCAAAGCCGCCCCAACTTATAGATTCTCCGCGAAGGACAAGTGCTGATCCGAGACTAGGTGTGCGATAAAAGGTCTATTTTGACTTTACGTTTTATAAAACAGATATAAACACATTCGATCATATGTACAAACGGTATGAATTTATTCCAAGCCCTTTAATATACATCACCTTTTTTTTCATGACCTAAAGACTAAATTTTGATCTAATGCTCGACAAAAATGCGAAACCTCTCACCCAAAATTGCTTAAAATTGAAAATCCAGCCTATCTCCTTCAACCGAGATTTGTTTAGCAAGCCCGAAACTCCTATCTTTACGATAGATTCTCAAGAATATGCTTCAAAGTATTTGTAATATTCTGGGAAGGCCGAAATATGAATATCGCACATCGTTGTTGTTCAATATTGATTATCAGATGGAAAGCACTGCCAGCGACCTTGTGGGAATCGTGGGTTCATTTGTTCTGCGCGGACGGCCTGTTCCTTGGACGATCCATAACCACAGGGCGGATCAGACATGCGAAACAAGCAACTTGCTCAATGTTACAGTTACAAGCCAAACTTGAGATCAAGTCTGCTTCAAACGGACACGCATGCGCAGCTCCGTGTCCTGATCCAGCACAAATTCCGCTGTCTACACGACCGTGCAAGCAGCAGGTAACAACACCCGAGCGATGTCAAGGAAAGGATCCATGAACAAAGTCTGGAAGTCCTCATCAAGACGAGAGGTGGAATTCTGCACGAAGTGCAGAACATGAATCTCGACCTCGAGTCAACTCGATGTGAAGGCACGAAGGTCTGTCACAAGGTGTGTTGAGGCAGGATTGCAAACCAGCTTGATGCAAGAAGCGTCTCAGGCTTTTTTGCAACAGTGCGAGGCCAGTCGTCGCTCAAAATGATATCGCCCCTTCAGCCTCAACTCTATTCTACGCAGATCAGCTTTGTCCTCGGCGCCGGTTTCCAAAGGAGGTACCAGCACATCGAGGCATCCATGCCGTGCGACAATGCGATTTCGTGCTGCAAGGGTCGCCACTCCCTCTCGACACTGTCCTCCGCAAGACAGTACCTGTCGACATTGCAATTTCCGTGTCTCGGTCTCGGCTTCTCGCTTGCATCGTTCACGGAACCGCACATCGTCTGGTTCGTGGCACTTTACTTGGTGGCCTGACCGCCATGTGTCTCACGTCGCCTCGCGGCCACCGGCTGACCGCCTGGCCATTACATCCCAAAGTGCAGGTCGTGGAAGAAGTCCACAGCTTTGCGATCTCCTTCCTCAAGCAGCTTTGCTAAATGCAGGTGTTGGATGCCGAAATCGCACACCGGAACAGCGCTGGAGCAGCTGACGACATCCTCAGCCCACGACAATGAGAAAGAACCGCAAAGATGTAATTCGCTTGCGTGCAGGGTTGAGAGCCACCAGACCTTTAGCCCAGCATCGTGCTGCGGCATGATTTCGAATATGTGTAGAGCCGGCTGCCACTGCAGGCCCTGAGACTTCGATACATGACGCTGCAGGCAGTACAAGTACGCCTTCCCAAGCCCTGAATCACGGAACCTGGATAAACTAACACTGAATTTCGTGCTGGCCGAGCCACACGCCCACATGCCAGAATTGCAGAATTGCTACAGAAGAGATCGGTGGCATTGGGGTCTTCAAGATCGCAGAGCAGTGTCAAGGCTCTGTCCCATTGGGCCGCAGCACTGGAAGCACTGATTGCACTGCCTTAACTTGCAGCCGTGCATGACATGGTCGATGCTCCGAAGGTAGCAGCCTTGTCCAGGCGAAGGCACTGTAGCAGAGCAGATTCGGCTGCAGCCCACGGCTCGGCATTGACCGGACGAGGACGAAGGCATCCCTCCAAGCCGCACCTGCAGCTTTTAGCAGCCTAGAGCTTCGTCACACGTCCTTCTTTGTGTGACTCCGTGTGCTGTGAACCCAACAGATTTTACTTGTCGTGGGTATGGTCTGGGCGGCCGTTGTCACTTTGGCCAGCATGACCTGTGGTACACTCCCTGATGTTCAACAGAGCAATACTCGCAGCACAAGCTCAGCCAAAGATGCCTGCACTAAACGAAGGCGGAGGATAGCCTACTGTAGATTAAAGGAGCATCGGAGAAATGCACGCATCTGCAATTCACGTACGTGACACAGATGAACCGGTTCAGACATGCTCGATATCGGAGGTGGCAACCTCTAGGGACGGCCTCGGCTGTTCACATCGCGCGAGGGGTAGGCCACTGCATTGCCGCTACTTTTCATGAAAGTGTGCTTTGCGGAAAGATTGCTTTTTTCCGGAGTTGTACGCCGGCGAGGTTTTACTGGAACGACGGTCGCACATGGTATTCCAGCAGGCGACTGGCTGCTTCAGTTGCATTGACGTTAGCGTCGTTGCTGTTGTTGCAGCTGCTGCTGGTGTTGTTGTTGCTGCTGCTACCGTTGCCATTGCTGCTCCTGCGTCCTCCTCTTCCTCCTCAACGTTCTCCTCGTCACAATCCATCGTCTCCCTCTCCCTCTCCGTCACGCGAACGCTTTCCTTGGTGCGGTTGTTGCAGTCGCTGTCGTCCTGAGTGTTAATGGTGGCACTGCTGCTGCTGCTGCTGCAGCTGCTGCTGCCGCCGCGGTTGCTGTTCCTACTTTTGGTAACGGCAGCTGTGTTGAGCTGTGTTGTTATTGGTGTGTTGCTGTGGTCCTTGTTCCCTTTTCGCTGCTGTTCCAGGATTTCCAGCCGCTGTTCCGCTTGCCTGAGCCAGCTCCTGATGTCTCTGTGCATTGGCTTTGCTTTTTGCCGCGTAGTTGGCAATGACAAAGCAGCACTGCCTCCAACACACCGACTTCACACGACTGGCAAAGTACTTCTCGGATAGCACGAGGACTCCTCACATATTGTTCGGTCGCCAGTGATTACCATGGAATCCTGAGCCCAAAAGCTGTCAGTTTCGTGGGGCTCTGTAGAGATAGACGGCACTGTCCCGCTTTCTGTGCCGAACATACGTTGACCGTGGCGAAGCGGAACGACCTGGGTGGGGTTCTGCCCGTGTCTCTGGCACCCCTAGCCTTGTGGGAAAGCATTTCTCAATCTCTCTGCCCTTTCAGCTGTTCAACGTAAAACCTATAAACTGGCCCAGGTTTTCCTATTTTGAGCTAGTGGCTGTGGGGTCCTCCATGTGGATTCCTGTGGGCCTATTGTATTGAGATGATCTCGGATGCTGGGCACGTGCTAGCTAATTCACCTGCAGCTTTTATTAATGGCAGGTTGAAATTCTCATGTACTAACGAAGATGCCCCTTCCGAGATCAGAGTCCACCCAGAGACCTGCATTTGGGGGAGGCTAAGTACAGCACCTGGACCCCAATTCTTCCCATTTTTGCTTGAGGGCCCGGCTTAGGTTCAGGCCCTGATACGTGCTGCAGTTTCGCAAAGAACTTTCCCTGCCTACTGTGGTAGGACGAAAGTTCGTCGCACTCAGTATGTCGCTCTTGAACAGGACTCAGACCCCCTTTTCCCCGTAGACTCCTCCACCCAGTCCTCCGTCCGGAACATTATAGTAGTATGATTTTATTCCGGTGGATTAATTCCTCCGCCAGCCAGGCAAGATAAAATGCACTTCGAAGTACTCCTCGTCCTCCGCAACATGGTCTAGCCAACCGCGACGAAACTTTATTCCTGGTGATGTATTCTCTGATGATAGATGAGGGTTGTCTTGTCATGATACCCATCTTATCGCCACATCGCCACCTAGACGTCGATGTTTGGGTACGACGCGACTCTTTGCGGGGAAAAGCATTACTGCAGTCTGTGATTATGTAAACATGCGCAGTCCCAGCTTCGCCTCGCTCACATGCGCTGATGGCACAGCTGAAGCCGATCAGGTCTGGGGAGACTCGGGCTGTCGTCATGTCGTAGAAAAGCTGTAATGCAAGCTGCCATCTGCTGCCTGGTATCAGGTCAGAGAATTCACAGCAACGTTGGGGGCACGTGTGCAGAACGTCTTGGCACCAGCCATGGCCGAGTGACTGTCCAGTGCAGAAATAGCACCACTGTAACTGATGACCTGGCTCGCAAGATGTGTCCAATTTTAGATGCGTGATCAGAACCCTGGGTCTGCGGCATCTGCGGCATGCTCCGATCTCTCCAGCTGCTCCAACATGTGCAGCGCATGCTGCCATTCACCGCTGCCCGCGCATGCGCTGATAGCTGCATTGTAGCCTTTGTCTTGCCAACACTCTTGCAGTATGATGCTTCCAAACGGCTTGGCAGCTTAAAACATGTTCTTCCGGAAGGTCAGCTCCGATCGAAGAGGGATGGTGCACCAGGTGCAAAAAAGAAGCTAATCGTGTCCGGCTTGAACTGTGCCAGTTGCATCGCTGCCAGAAGCTGAAGGGCCCCTTGCCAGAATCCAGCCTTGGTGAAATGCATGCCGCACACTGCTCCCAACGAGCAACAACCGTTTCACTCAGGCGGACAAACCTTGTCGCATGCACTGATCGCTGCGTTAAACCCGACGATTGTGGCGAGGAGTCGCTCCTCTGCTGCTACAGTCTTTATATTGGCTTGCCAAGTGAGGCTTGGCGGGATAGATGCGTGGCGAGTTTTAGCAGCGATCTACTACAGTTCATGGTCTCCTCTTCCATTCGTGTCAGCAGACACAGTGCCGACTGCCATTTGCCAACCTTCCTTGGCAACAATGCAAGCTCGTTTGCCTGACAAAAACCTGCTGGGGTTAGCGACGCCTATGCACAAAAGCTGGGCTCTCTGCTCGCATGCACTAATTGCGCTGTTGACGCATATCACATCCTTGCGCACCTGTGCGGACAAGTGGTAAGCATGTTCTGAACTTGTAACCTGAGCAACCACAGCACAGGCCTACATCATGTGGGCCTGGATCGTGCCAATTGTCGCCAGCAACACCAGCACGGATTGCCACTCAGCTGCCTTTTCACAAGCCTCGGCCGTGGACATTGTGGCTGCATTGTCACGTGTCAGCCCACTTAGGTTCCCGGACTTCTGTCCGACCCGTCTATGAGATGCTTGACCACTTCCAATCCTACGCCCTGTCACCGTTTATCGTGAACTCGGTTCACTCTCTTTTCGGAGGGGCATGGGCATCAGTAAGACTTCTCATCTGCACGAAAATGCTCATTCCAGGTCACAGAGGATGAGCAAGCGCATGTGACGACGTTCGGCTCAATTGTTGCAAGTCTCATCTCGGACAGGAGGAAGGCAGCTTGTGTCCAGCAAGATCTGCTCTCGCAAGCATTGATTGCAGAACTGAAGGTGTACACCTTGTCATCACATGGCGAGGTCGCATGACCCTACCAAAAAAAGCAGCCCGGGAGCATCATCAGGGGCTCCTGCATTCGGTGCAGCCGCCAACGTCGGCATGAGCTTTAAAGTCCGAACTGCCCAGGTCCATTGGCCCGACCTGCATGTGATTGACAGGCTTTGAAAGGTCCTAGGGCCGCTGAACGGAAGTGTTCCAATCACTCCAGGCAGCTTTTCGCAGGCACCAACATAGGCAGTGAAGTGAAACACATTGCATTCCACTAGGTTTTTCCTCGGCACATCATCAGATTCGGGTTTCGCGAACGTGTCTCTGCAATCGGCTGTCCGTCGTCTGTTCATGGCCCTGCTTTGCCGCAGACACTAGCACTCCAATCCATACAAGAAAGCCCAATGTCGCTGTGAGTCTGCTGATGGAAACAAATTGATCGGGCTGTTCGTGGTACTCCCACAATAGTGATATGTCGCAAGCTACATGAGCCAAC